ATTATTTTAGCCGTAGATTATGTTTCTAAATGGGTGGAAGCTAAGACCACTCGGAATAATGTTGCTAAATTACAGTTAATTTTTTTAAAAATACTATTTTTCCAGGTTTGGCACGCCACGGGCTATAATAAGTGATAGAGGAACTCATTTTATCAACCGAGTAATCGAGTCACTAATGAAGAAATTTGAAGTAACTCAAAGAATTGCTACTACTTACCATCAATAAACAAATAGACAGGCCGAAGTATCAAATCGGGAAATTAAAACAATTCTTGAAAAAATTGTTAAACTGGACTGAAAGGATTGGACTTTAAAATTAACTGATGCACTTTGGGATATTGAACCGCTTTTAAAGGTCCCATTGGGTTGTCACCATACCGACTTGTTTTCGGTAAACCATGCCATTTACCAGTTGAGTTAGAACATCGCACCTATTGGGCCATTAAATAGTGTAACATGGACATGGATGCGGTTGGTGAAGCTCGGAAATTACACATTCAAGAACTTGAAGAAATCCGAAAAAAATACTTATGACAGTTCTCAGATATTTAAAGAAAAAATAAAAGAATTTTACGATTATAGAATTTCTTTTAAAATTTTTGTCGGTCTAAAGGTTTTGTTATTTAACTCCAAATTTAAACTTTTTACATGAAAACTTAGATCAAAATGGCTTGGACCGTTTACAATAAGTCAAGTATTTCCTCATGGTGCTATTGAAGTTTAAGATAACTCAGAAGTTTGATTTAAAGCTAACGGTCAAATGTTGAAACCATATTATGACAATGCTCCGGTTGGTCTAATCGAAGAAATTAATTAAGAGGAACCCACAGTCTGAAAAAATCAGGTCGTCGAGATAACAATGTTAAACAAAGACACTTTATGGGAGACAACTCATTATTATTTTTATTTTTCGTTTGTTTAATTTTTATTTTATTTTCAATTATATTTCTGATTTATTTTTGTTTTTATTTTTCTTTGATTTTTCAGGTACCCGTTATTCCTAGTTGAATTTTAAGCAAGATAGAATCAAGAATTGTTCTAACAGAAATAAAAAAATGGTGAAAACCCGACCCCAAGGCGTGAAGAGATCGTGTGGCAGCAAACAAAGAGAGAATCCTACGAAAAAAAGGCGTAGAATTTTGAAATACACTATTCGAACAGTGCAAAGAAAATGATTTGGTTTGAACAGTGCAAAAAAAAAATACATAGTAGATTCAAACAATGCAGTGCAGAAAAAAACAGTGTAGAAAAAAATAGATTTGGTTCGAACTGTGTAGAAAAGTTTGAACAGAACAGTGTAGTGCAAAAAAAACACATCAGTACAATTTTTTTGAACAGTGAAAAAAAAGAGAGGATAAAGCTTGATCTATATTTTCTTGATTTTTGTTTTGCAGAAATTTTTTAATATATATTCTAGTGGCTTCTCGATCGGACATTCTACTCTACAAAAGCTCGTCTCGATGTGGCCATAGCCACGATCGCCACTAGATCGGGGAGTATTCCTTTTCACTCTCTTTGTTTGTAAATTTGATATACGTTTTGGGACAAAACGGATTAAGTGAGGGGGAAGGATAAGCATGTCAAATTTTTCCCTTGAATTGTTTGATTGTTTGAAATTAAATTATTCTGATATTGATATGTTGGGATCGTTGGTTGTTATTCTTGAACTTTACTTTATACTCTTGCTTCCTTTTGGATTATGACAATGTTTTGATTGAATTTAATTTGCATGATTGGTGATTGGTATAGTTGGTGAATTTTTTTATTGAGTACTGATATTTCATGCTTTTGTTGATAGAGATAAACTCGACTCAGTGCATATAAACTTTTCTTGTGAGATTTGAGCCTAACGAGCATATATTTTCTTTCTTGCTCATTGTTTGATTTGAGTGTGTCGGATTAATTAGGATATTCTATAACTTGTAATCACAATGCATATCAAGACTACATGTTGAGCATAATGTTTTAATGTGATAGGGGCACCTAGGATAAACCCACTTTTCCCCAAAAGCCTATTCGTTTATATATCCACTAGTGAACCACATTTGAGCCTATTTTCCTTTCTTTATTTTACACCTCATAATTAAACCCGAAACTTTTCTTTTTATTTTTCCTCTATTTTCACACCCTTACCGAGACTTGAGATCTTGTATCACTCTTGCTCTATGAAAAATAGGGAAAAAAAGAAGAAGTCGATTATTTTTACTGTTTCGAACAACAACAAAAGAGAAAAAAAGAAAAAAGTTCACTGTTTGGAACAAAAAAAAAGAGTTCACTATTTCGAATAGATAAAGGAGAAAAAAAATAAGGAAATCAATTGTTTCAATTGCCTTTCATTTATTCTTTTTCCTTGTTTTATTGTGCTTCATATTAGTTTGTGGATTGTTCCTAATTGTATTAATATCTTGTCTTGGTACTTAACCTGATCATCATGGCCTTTTCCCCTACCCTAACCTAAGCCCTGTCACACCTTTTTTAAATACCCCTTGATTATTGCATTATGTTCATTTTTAGTAGTGGAGACTTGATTGGATTCCAAGCTTATGGTAATATTTTGGTTAGTTTCGGTTTGAGCGATTTCATTTACCCCAAACACTTTGAGCGAATATGTGTGCATCTTTGTGAGGTATTGAGTCATGTTTCATTGAAGTTGGCAATTAATTGGGATATCTTGGTTACTTTAAATTTTCTTAGTTGTGTCTTTGCTTGAATGTAATTTGAATTCGGTAAATGTCATGGACTTAATTCAATTGGAAGTTTGAGAAATAAATTGAAATTTAAGATGACAACTAATTATTTTGATGTATTAATTGATGAATGCTTGAGGAAAAGCATTGAATAAGGGGAGAATTTGATAAGTGATTTATTTGGTTAATATTTTGCTTCTAAATTACTCCTTAATCATTAGTTTTTGTGACTTATTTGTTCATTTTGATTCATTTTCTGTGTAGGACGCTAGATTCTGAAAATTGCACTAAAATGACATAATTCTGTAGTTTTTTTTATTTTCGAAATCAAAACTGGATTAGTGGGCATGAAACATCTGACGAGGCGATGAAATCAGCACCTTCTAGAAGGTTCACTCAGCGCTTCTAGAAGAACGAATGGATCAGCCGCACATTTATGCAATTCGGATTTGTATTAAACTCATGTTTTAGGATATTATTTAAATAATATATTTTATATTTGTTTTAGATATTTAGTTAAAATAGTTTTAAGTATTTCAATTAGGATTTATTTCTTTATTTTAGGAATTATCTTTAGCTTGTTTTTAGGATTTTGAAGGCTATAAACACCCTCTCAGGGTAAGCCTGAAAACACATCTTTCACATCTGAGAGTTTAATCTTCTTCTTCTCACTAGCTTTATAAAATTCTCTTTTCTATTTTCTTTCAAGCTTTTCGCATATATTTTTTTACTTTATTTTAAGTTTTTCAAATATGCTAAGTATGACTTTGGTCATTCTTAGCTAATTTTCTTTTAAGTCGAAGGCTAAAGCGAAGGCTCAATTCCAAACGTGAGAATTGTAAAGTACTTAAATCGCTTCGGATTTTTCTCTCTATTTTTCTCAGCTTATTTTCAAATCAAAATGTTTTCAAAACCAAAAGTTGGCGTTGGTCTGGATGTTGTTATGGTTAACGTGGGAAGAATGATCGGCTTATTGAAGTATATTCGACATCATGTGAACACACTTAGCAAAATTGGTTGCTAAGAGGAAACTGAGATTGAAATCAATTATTGTTGAAACAACATAATCCGAGTCGACAACTTTTCGAACTTCAACATTTGAAAGTCTACATTGTTGTTGCTTAGATCAACTCACAAATCAAAATTTAATAGTGCACTTGGATATTCGGTATACAAAGCATAGTCACAAGGAATTATCCTTGTAGAAAAATAATCGACGTGAATATTGAAGTAAAGATCTATTTCGATGATTCGATGAATTTGAGGCTAAGCTGAAGTCTGAGGCTGTTCTAACCATAAGTCTTCTATATCTCAATTTATTTTATTTTTTTATTCACTTATTTAATTTTTTTATCTCATTATATTTCTTTAAACAATTTAAAAACTCCCATTTTTATCTTTATCTTTATCTTATAATTATAATTTATTATTTTATTATTTTATCTTTATCTTCTATTTAAAAAATTTTATATTTAAATATTTATTTTTATTATTTTATTTTTATCTTTATCTAAAATTCTATCTTATTCTAAAACAAAAAGTCCATTAAATAAGAAACACCAAAGTCCCTGTGGATCGACCCTGCTTCTCTATACTACTCTCACTTTTTACTTATTAAGAAGCCAAAATTATTTTGATAGCAAAACGACAGTTATCACAGCTAATATCAAGGTAGATTTTTCATGATACTTGTAGTTATATTCCTAAGAAAGAAGGTTATGCTTGGAGAATAAATTCTCTCTAGAGCAGGTACCAGTGAAGAAGATAACACGAGTGAACCTGAGAGTGCCCAACCAGGTGACATTGTGTTAACGGCAGAGCCTGCGGTGTAGCCTTGCTGATCCCAATGATCGTTATAAGCTGGAACTGTCGAGGGCTTGGGAACCCGACACAGTTCATGAACAAATGAGACTTATCTCCGAAAAGGACTCGCTGGTAGTTTTTGTTGCATAAACGAAATTTTGGAAAAATATGGTGGAACATATCAAAATTTCTACCAATATGTCAGGATGCTTGCCGGTAGAGAGATCAAAAGATTACGTGAGATTGTTGATGCTTTAGAAAAAAGGAGTTAATGTCTCGCTCATAAGTTTCTCCAACCTTCATATTAATATTGAGGTTTGTTGGGAAGAACTCAGGTTTAGATTCATGGGTTTCTATGGCCGAAGCACATGGAATGAAAAATGAGAGAATTGGGAAATGATATCAAATCTTGCCTCATCTACTTCCCTCCTGTAGTATATGAGATGAGATTTCAACGAGATTATCCATGCTTCAGAGAATGATGGGGGTAGACGACGTGTCAATGTTCATATGGAAGACTTCAAGAAGTATCTTTGTGATGCAGATCTTTGGGACATTCGGCCTAGAGAGGGGTGGTTTACTTGGTCAAGAGGAACTAAGGCCCAATCCATTATCAAGGAACGTATTGATAGATTTGTGGCTTCCAATGACTGGCGATTGATGTTTCGCAACTGCTCGGTACTTACGGTTCCGACTACAAGTTCTGATCATTATACTCTTTTCCTCAATTTGAAGGGCTCTACATCAGCCCGACCCCCTCGTAATGATCATTTTAAATTTGACTTGTGTTGGGCGAAGAAAGCGCAACGCGAAGACATTGTTAAATTAGTATGGGGAAACCAAGAAGACTAATTTTTAGGGAAGATTATGAGGACAGGCTTGGTAGTTGGTAATGAATGAAAAGAACTCAGGTTAAGCATGATGAGAGGCGCCTTAGATAGCAAATCCTTCTATTGGATTCTACTCCGGTCTCAGACCAAGTCTGTGACCAGCTTTATCAAGCTAAGGTGAAGCTTAATGAAATCATTGACAAAGACGAGGCCTATTGGATCCAGAGATCTCGGGTGGCATGGCTTCGTGAAGGGGACTGGAATACAACCTTCTTCCATACGCCTACAAATGGGAGGAAAAAGAAAAATTAGGTTGAATGCATTAAGGGTGAAGATGGTGTGTGGTGCGAACTGCTGGATGGTATCTTCGACATGGCCACGAAGTACTTCACTCTCTCTTCCAGTCTTCCAGAACAGACCCCGATGAGGAGATTCTCCAAGCCATTGATCGATGTGTCTCGCCAGAGGACAAAGAGATCATTTGTCACATCTTCACTTTTGAGGAAGTTCTTTTTGCCTTTTCTCAAGTCAATCCTTCCAAAACCTAGGAATTGATGGTATGTATGGTCACTTCTATCGATGTTTTTGGAATATTATAGGAGACGAGTTTGTTAGCCTGTGTCTCAATCTTTTGAATATATATTCAGATTTTGTTGATGTTAACCATACGATAATTGTGCTTGTTCCCAAAACTAACAATCCAAAAGTAATGAAGTATTTTAGACCGATTAGATTATGCACAATCATTTACAAAGTGGTGTCAAAAGCTATAGTAAATATATTAAAACCTTTTATCTCTAATTGCATAGCTAAAAACCAATGTGCTTTTGTTCCTGGTAGACGTATCTCTGACAATTTCTTTGTAGCTCATGAGCTTATCCACTATCTAAAGGGCTCCAAAAAGGGGCCAAACAAGGGGGTTGCCTTAAAGCTTGATATAGAAAAAGCCTATGATCGTGTTGAATGGGATTTTGTGTTAAATGCCATGGTTAGCATGGAGTTTAATGTTTCCTTTGTGAACCTTATTCGTAAATGTATAAGTTCTGTTTCTTTCCTAAATTGATTGAATAGTGCATCATCTGACCCCTTCACCCATGAGAGGGGTCTACGATACGGAGACCCCCTGTCCCCTTATTTATTCATGTTTTATGCACAGGGCTTCTCAGCACTTCTTCTGACTACACAAAGAATGAACAAAATCAAAGGCATCCGGGATAGCATCAGAGGACCAAGAATCACTCATCTTTTTTAGGCAGATGATAACATCCTTTTTGTTAAGAATTCTCTAGAAGAACTGAGGTGAATCAAGAGTATCTTCTCACTGTATGAACGTGCATCCAAAAAGATGGTTAACTTCAAGAAATCCAACATCTTTTTCAGCTCGAACACCCCCACTGACTGCAGGGCTTTTCTCAATGTGCTTGGAGTCGAGGAATCATGGGAACCATGCAACTATCTTGGGATGCTGTTGGCGGTTAGCAAATGAAAAATGGTGGCTTTTAACTTTATCAAAGATAGAACGACGAAGAGAATACAAGGTTGGACAAAGAGACTCATCTCCTTTGAAGGCTGGGAGATTTTCATAAAGTCAGTTTCTCAAGCTCTCCCTATGTATGTTATGTCCTGCTACCGTTTGCCAGAAGGAAATATTGAGGCCATTAAATCCCAAGCTTATTTCTTTTGGTGGTCAGGCAAGCAAGACACTAGGGGTTAGGCCATGTACTCTTGAGATAAGGTATGCCGATCCAAAAAGCTTGGTGGAATGGGCTTCAGAGATATCAAGTTGTTTAACCTTGCCCTCATGGGAAACCAAGTTTGGAGACTCATTCATGATGAGAGCTCGTTGATCGTTAAGGTTCTCAAGGCTAAGTATTTTCCTCATTCTGACTTTCTAGATGCCAAACTTGGTGATAGACATTCTTATGCATGGGCAAGCATACTCAAGGCTAAAGATGCCCTCTTGGATGGATTTTTCTGGAGTGTGAGAATTAATAGCTTAGCAAGGATGTTCAGTGACAGATGGGGTGACTCTGGCCCCCTCGGGTGGACTGGCCAGTATATGGAGAGCAATATTGATCCCGTGCATGTTTCTTAGTTCATGCTTCCTGATATTCCTAGATGGGATGAGCTTAAAGTATGCTTGATCCTGACCTTGGAGGATGCTTCCAAGGTCCTCAATACTCTGATTGCTCCCATACATGGAGACAAAATTCTCTGGTGCAACCATAGTTCAGGTTCTTACTCTCTGCTAAGTCAGGCTATAACTGGTTGTTGATTCGAAACTTTCCGGTCCAGGTACAGGGAAAAAATCTGGAGTTCCATTGCAAAGGCCAACACCCTCCCAAATATTAAAATTTTTGGATAGAGACTTTGCCACGAAGCTCTTCTTACTGGAGAAAAACTTAAATAGGCCTGACTAGCAGAAGGAACTTGCAATCTATGTAATGAATCGGTTGAAACTACGCTACATGCAATTAAAAACTGCCCAAAATCAAGACCCATCCTCAACTTGTCGGGCCTTCCTGACTCTCAGCCTCCAAGCTTAACCGCGAAGGATTTGATTTACTCCTCACACTATTATAGAATATATGAAATCGTAGGAATAAATGGATCCATGATGCTGACCTTCAGCCGAACAAAGATGTTATCACTAATGCTTGGAATCTTCTCGGCGAGTTTAAACAGGTTTCAACCTCATTCTCGAGCCTTTATGGGAGGAGCCACCCCCTAGAAGTCACAAGTGGAGTAGCCCCCAGGGTATGATTAAAATCAATGTGGATGGAGCGTTCTGTTCTGATTCTCAGAAGGCAGCCATAGGCATTGTGGCTCGAGACTCGCATATAATGGTACTAGGAGGAGTGGCTAGACAAGTTAACCCCCATAACACGGCAGAATCTACGGAAGTATGTGCTTTTACACAGAGAATCAATTTTGCGGTTGAGAATGGATGGTACAATGTCATCATTGAAGGAGATGATATTTTAGTGGTGAATAGATTGTCTAACAAAAATCGGAACTAGACCCAAGACCTCTCTAAAATCGGATTGTTGCTCAATGAGTCCCGCTCCCTCCTCGATGATAATTCTTCCTTCAAAGTTTACTATGTTTGTAGGGATGCTAATAGAGCGGCTCACTCGCTTGCTAAATGGGCTTTATCGAACCCCAATCTGGTTTGGTTTTCCTATACGAACCTGAATATATTAAACAAATTGTAATCATTGATGCTATTAGAATATAATCCCTTCTTTTCCTTAAAAAAAGATATTGTCCATTGTGATGATGGTTGCTCCAATATTTTCTTAGATTTTTATTCTCAAACATATCAAATATAACACACCATTCAGAACAGATAAAAGTTTTCAAGCTCCTTGTGTTCTTCATTCACACACACACTCCCCTGTCCCTTTAACCATGCATCTTTCATCTGTTATGACTCCCAGTTCTTTAAATATGACTCCAACTTCTAGCAGTCTGAGCTTCAGCTATCAGTTTAACCATGGTTACTGTGATCGGAATGTCATTCACCCAATTGACTTGTCACTGTTATGCAATGTTCCAAAATGTCAGCCCTGTAAATGTAGAATAAAATAAAGTCCCAAAATTTATCTTTAGTTGTACACATAACGATAACTAGGCCATTTTATCAAAAATATCACCCTGACATGTAATAATAACCTGTCAGACGCCCTTTTCTCCTAATTTTACTGATCTAGCACTCTTTCTGACAAGACGCAGATCACCATCTGTGCCTTCGCGAGGTTTTGTCTGAGCTGGTACCAAGTAAGCGAAGGCGCGGATGACGATCCGCGCCTTTGCTGAACCTCCGACTTATTCTGACAAGGTGCAGATCGTCATTCACGTCTTAGCATTTTTAAAAAAATATGCTTTAAAAACTTTTTTAAAAATAAAACTATAAGGACTAACATTGTGATTTAATACATATTAGTTTCATGAGTTGAAGAGTTTAATAGGGTTAGCTTATACGGGCGTATTGGAGTGTTTAGGTTATGTTTCTTGACAATGTGGGATAAAAGTTAAAATGTGTATTTCTTGACAATGTGTTTAGGTTATGATTTTATGAGTTGTCTTCGATCGTTTTCATTACATTTTTATTTCAATTATATACATATAAATATAAATATAATAAAAAGTTGATAAATTATTATTTTTTCAATTTTTAAATTACCTTAAATCAACCCAAAAAATAAATATGAAAAGATTGATCAGAAGATAGTCTAGAATGCAGCTTTAACATTTGCAAATTTTGACATGCAGCTTCCATGTGTTTCGGAATGCAGCTTTAACATTGGCGAATTTTGACATGCACAGAATTAGACGCATCAGCTAATGCAAAGATTGATCAAAAGATAGTCTGAAATCCTTTTGATGGGGTAAGAAGCTCCATTCTGTGTTCGTTTTTTTTGTGGAGTAGAGGAATTCATTGATTATCTTTTCAAGGTGCTTTTCGTAGACACGATGATCTTTTCGAAAATTGACAATAATGTTAGAACAAAGGAGCAGTTAATTATGAGAACAAATGTAGTAGAGAATTACTGCCCGAATCCATTGTTCCCAACCACACACTCAAGTTTATGCAGCAGAGTTGGAGGAATATTTGATTGTGTATTTCCATATCGTGTCCTATTATATGTTATCTATCTTGGAGCATGCTTGTAAAACCATCAAACCTACTAAACGAAAAAAATAAGCATTTAAAACCTTCTCTCTAGAAAATCTTCAGAATAACAACACTAATATTAGTGCAATCAATGAAAGAAATGCCACTAATAAATCAGTACTACGAGAATTTAGACCTATCATTGTACGCATATCACTTTTTTTTTAAGGTAATTTAAAAATTGAACAAATAATAATTTATCAACTTCTTATTATATTTATATGTATATAATTTAAAAAATTGTAATGAAAACTATCGAAGTCAACTTATAGAAACATAATCTAAGCATATTGTCTAGAAATACAACTTTTAACTTTTTATTTAATATTGTCAAGAAACATAACCTAAACACTCAAAATATGCTTATATAAACTAATCTCATTCAACTCTTTAGATCATTGAACTAATATGATTAAATTACGATATAAATTCCTATAATTTTATTTTTTAAAATTTTTTAAGATATGATACGAATGACAATCTGTGTCTTGTCAAAATATGTCATAGATTTAATTAAGGAATGGATGATATTTCGGTAAAATCGCCTGATAACTATAGTTATGGTGTCACTGCCTCCTCTCTGTCTCATCTTCTGATAAGATCACCTCTTCTTTTTAGATTCATTTCTTCCAAT